GGTTGTTTTGAGATTTAGAACTATTTTGGCTCTTTACCTAAAATTTTAAATGAAAATTTTAGACTATTTATTTAATTACTATTATCTGATTTGATGGTAAATGAGTCAACTCTCTTATTATTTAATATTTTATACCTTTAGGTCACAAAGGTTAAAATAGGCTAGTGGGGTTGTCCAGTTTAAGAATCCACTTTTGTTTAGTAAATTGAAGAGGTAGAGATAGAAACTTACTGTAGGCGATGAACGAGAGGAAACACAATAACCACTACTCGTAAAAACAAAGAACTTCTCATCCCTTTAAAATTCTACTTAAGATATGTTGTCAAAGTAATTTGGATTGTTATTATTATTATATTATTAAATGGATAGTTAATATCGAAGTGGGGAAACAATTGATATTTGTTCAACAATATGTTTAAAGAACGAAAGGTTCTTTTTTTTTAAGTTATTTGTATCAATCCAAGGTGCATTTAATGTCATTAATGGTCATCATTCTGATGGTGCACATTGATCTATGGTTTACTTTTTTTATGTTATTTTATTTGATTTATTTATTTTTATTTGATGAAAAAATTTGAAAGGGCAATTAGCATTGTTGTCTTGTTGTTTTCCATGGAAAGAATGCAATTGGTTAGTAGGAAAAAAATTGTTCCTCGACGGACAAAGATAACGAAAAATTTGAATTTCTAGGTACTTCTGATTTTAAAGTTCGGTGACTAAATCTTGTAGGAGAAATTAATGTGATGATTGTATAGGATAATAAAATGTTTCCTTGAGTTATATATTGCGTACAAACCTAATTTCAAATAATGTTGGTTTACGTAATTTAACTATAGGTGTGTTGTATTATACAAATATTATTGGAATTATGTTATTTGAAAGGATTAAGAATTAACTCTAAGCTTAAAATTTAGTAGAATATGTTTTTGACTTATAAGTTATATCAATTAGGTGTTCAATTAGAGGTATGAGAGAGTTTTTGGGTCTATGATAGACATATACTAATATGGGTGTGTACGAACTCACATACTTATAATTATTGCACAATTGATAGATTGGAAACGTTTCGAGACATTGAGAAAAGGAAAGGAAAAACTTGAAGATTCATGGCACGGGTTCAACATTTTAGGTATGTTAAAACTTCCAGACTTCTTGGAAAGATGTTTTCTAATTAAAATATTAAATATGAAATCGACCATAGGTAAGGGCGAAAGATGGGGGTCTCGTATCAATGGTGTGACGGACATTGGTATGAGTACCGGTGTTATAAAGGTAAAGTTATTATTATAGAATGTGAATTTTAATTTGAGAATGTCAAAACATATAGGCATTAGCTGATGTATTATTGACTTGAATTCATTGTGTGATTGTGTTTTCTTTGTTACACTCGTATAGTTGTGATAATTGACGTGGTTATGTATTATGCTGATATTTGATTTATTGAGATGTATCATCATCCCCTTATTTGAAATAATATTGTATACATGCATTGATATGAGATTGTGTACAAGTGGGTACGTGGAGATCGCCCGTGCTGGAGATGGTGAGATGTTAAGATTATAATTTGGGCACGTGGTGATCGTCTGTGCGAATTTTTTTGATTTTATGATAGTGCGTTGAGATCATCATAAGAGACACGTGGAGATTGTCCGTGTCGGTAGATGGACCTCGCGAGTCGCCCAAGTATCATGAATTCTAAATATATTTCCAAGGAGTATCATGTAGATACGGTTGAGAGATACTGTGTATTCTGAGACATCACATTTCATGGTATCATATTGCATATCATTCCATGACATCCTTCGTTTTTTTAATAATGTGTTTTTATAGGTAGTTGGTAAGCGCTTGATTTTTGATTATCTCTATTTAAAGAAATTTTACTGACAAATATTCTAGACTTGTGTAAGTAAAGAACTAATTTTCATAAAATCCCGTCACTATTTCTTCGTTGTGGGTCAATGAGATATACTGGGTACACGTGATTTCGTACTCATACTATATTTGTTGCACTCTTTTATTTTACAGATTCAATTCTGAGTACGAGCACATCTCGTGGAGCTTTTTAAGTCTGAACTTGGAGTGTCTTAGGACCCGTTTGGCCATGCGATGTGGTATCATGATATGAGATCATGAGATGAAATTGGAGTTTTGTTTGGACATGCGATATGGAATTTTGATGTTGCATATTTTCACATAATCGTAAAAATCTCATAAGGTCTAAAACTATCAAAATAGACTCAATTGCTTATTCAATTTTATCAAATAAAAAAAATTATAAAATCGTATAATAAATTATTACAAATTTATTTTTCCTCCGCTTAAGTAATTGTTTCATCAATATATTTGAGTAAATATAAAACACCTTTCACGGGGTCTTCAAGATTTTATTATTCAACAATCACGAAGTGTGAGTTAAATTAACTATATTGGTGAGAATAATAAATTTAATGTCGGTGAGAATAAGAAATTTTAATAAGTAATGATGTGATTAAAAATTTAAGTTACATGTCAATAAATCGTTAATATATAAAATGTGAATTTTTTTTAATAAAATATAAACTCGCGCATCAATTTTTGTATTAAAATAGCTCAAATCATGATATGGTATTCCATATGATTCCATGTCATGGTTTTTGGAGAATATTGTATTGCATCTCATGATATGGAATCATGAGATGAAATGAGTATAAAATTGCATGTTCAAATGTTGATTCCATCTCATGATACCATATCGTGATTTTGTTTCACATGGCCAAATGACTACTTAGAGTTGTGGTAAGTTGATTGGCTATTCTGTGGCCCACACCTCCCTATATCTTTTAGTTATTCTGTTATTTTAGTATTCTGACGGGATATTTCCTTATGTTGGATTTGTCATTTTAGTTTTAGACTTGCATCGTGTTTAAAAGCTCTTGTACTTATGAATCTTTTGGTCAAAATCATCCTTAAACTATACTCCAAATCTAAACTACATCCTTAAATTATCATTATTAGCAGGAAACATTCTTCAAGTATTTAAAAGTGAACACTAAATATCCTTATACTTTAATTTATCAGAAAACTAACAGATCCCACAAAAATAAAGTCATTCCTTCCTAATTATTATTTTTAAATATGCCAAAAATACTATTGTGAACGTTCCATAATTGAGTTTAGCATTATGCAAAAAAAAATTAATTTGACAGTATTTTCATTTATTTTTCGTATAGTTAGATATTATAAATGTTATTAGTTGAAATCTATTTCGTCTCAATTGAATATGCTATAAGTGATTTTTGTTGGGGAATTTCACTTCTAATAGTGTAGAATGAAAATCAAATGCGAGACAAAATCAATATTTTGATTACTTCAATATCATATTCACCCAAAAATCTATTGATTCAAAATACATTTTGACTATGAATAAGGTAAGACAATTAATCTCCAGCTTCATTCCGTTACTAAATGAGAAAATGAGAAAATGATGTATGTAATCTCACAACTTCCAATTTTTTTTGTTTCCATAAGCAATAATTTCTAAGATTATTTTTTTTAAAATCAGGAACTTTTTATTGAAAGTAATGAATTTATGTTGAAAAACTTTTGTTGATAGTCACATGAACTGCTCATGATTTTCTAGGATCCCTTAATTTTTTTGACGATATGTAAAAGAGGATGAAAATTGTTCACATTTAAATACTAGAAAGATGTTTTGTGCTAAGAAAGACACTTTAAGGATGTAGGGTATGTTTGGGGTATAGTTAAAGGATGTTTTTGGTCAAAAACCTTACTTATGACACCAGTACTTGGGTGGTATGCTTAGCTTTCCGCAATTGGCATTTATAAACGCTTAATGTCAAAGATTTTTTTAATCATTGTTACCTTTTACCTTATTAGTTAGTTAACGTTAATAAAATATGTTGGATTGACTTACCTATAGATTGGGAACATAGATATCATCAGGACTTGTGAATTTTGGTCGTTGACAGTTCACAAGTCTTAATTGAATATAGAAAACTTGCTTATGTTATTCACAAACACTTAAATCTATTTTCCTCAATTTTGAGGCTTTATTTCACTATATGCACGTCTAGTACAAAATAATAATTTATAATTTATAAGTAAATTTGAAGAGAATATTATAAAATGGTCAGGAGAGTAACCATTTAAAGACTTTATTTCACTATATACACGTCTAGCATATATATATATATATATATATATATATATATATATATATATATATATATATATATATATATATTGTCATTATTTGTCTCATATATATTATTTACATTTTTTTCTTTTTAAGAATAAATTTTATTGATTATGCTTATATATTTATTTGTAGAATTAAATGAGTGTGAAAATAAAAAAAATTTAAAATAAAACCAATTAAAAATCAAAGATTGAAAAGAGAAATTAGACAGACTACTTAATAGATTTACTTCAAGATAACAATAATAATAATAAATTTTATATATATAGCAAAGTAAAAAATGCGAATTTTGAAGGAAATAAACATGTGCCACGTGGTAACTATCCAAGGCAAGACAACGAAGAGTTGGAGCCGGCTACTGTTCACCTGGAATCCAATTTCGTTTTAAGTTTTGAGTTTCTAATTTGTTTTGAAATCAATTATTTTAGAACTAGGAAGAGGTGGCCGGTGCAAGCAATAATAATTCATTTGTGCATGTATTATCAGGATAGTAGAATGTTTGAGCTAATAATTTGTAATTTGTGATTCGTATTTGTTAGGTAAATTTAAATGGTGACTATAGCAAGTTTTTGAAAGTCCTTATGATGCTTATATCGTCCGTAACTGAATATTTTTCCTGTAATATTTTTATTGTGAAATTGAAACTTATTGCATTTTAACGCTATACCAAGAGGTTTCTTTACCGTTGAAGAGAATAAAATCAGTGATCATAATACACCATCAGTGGTGCCATCATGACGCTTAGCAAGCAATTCTATTTTTCTTTTTTTCCTCATACTTTTCTACTGGAGAATTAAACAAAATTTCTGGTCTTTAGTTTGATCCGAGCTATTGACTGCATTTCGTAATGAGAAGAAGCCATAAAGTAACTCATCCAATTCATTAAACCAAAATCTCTAAATAAGTATATATGTGCCTATACATGATCATGATTCTTGTGGAGCCCAAAAGCTTGTTGGAGAATAAAACATGCCTAAACAGTTGTTCTAGTCCAAAAGTATTGATGGCTAAAGTTCCAGTAGAGAAGCATTAATAGATAATTTCCACTAATATTATTTTAATAGCCATCAATTACTCAGCTGTTAATCCCTGACCTATGTTGCTAGGACTCTCCAAAAATATTGCTGCACCTGTGTTGGGTACTCCAAATATGCACCACTTTGGTGTATCTGACACGCACCCGTCAATATTTTTTAAGAGTCCGAGCAACATAGTCCATGACTCAATGCCCAATGTCATTTGTAGCCTCTAGATAACACAGAACAACTAAATTAGGTAGTAAGAACCTGTGCTGATGTTTCAGCCATTCAAACTTAATATAACTTATGCAAACAACTCTCCTGCCACCAAAAAGCAATACCCAATATCAATTAGATTTAACAACTGTTATTCCCAGAGACGAACTGCTGTTATGGAATAGACATCGTTGTATTCATCACGTCGATGTTATACCAGGCAAAGGACAACTATACATTCTTTTCTTTCTCAGCCTCTTGCACCACATAAAGAATGGCACGCTAGCCCTCTTGCACCACATAAAGAATAACACTCTAGCCAATTACCGTACAGTGAAAGAACTCACATTATTATGTAAATGCTATCACCTTGTTAATTTTCCCAACATCTTTTGTCATACAAAATAAATATATCGCAGGAAAACCATGGAATTTATATAAGGATTTACACTGTACATTGGCCAGTATCCTCGGCAGACTAATTAATAAGTAGTTACTACCCCCCTCATCATTCACGGAGGCTCCATTAGCTACATTTTCTTGATGTGTTTTCCTTCTTCGTTTCTTATGACAAGCTAAACGCCTACGACAGCTCCGCTTCCCTTCATCAAACTCTTCTAGAACATGTAACCTGCCGAAAGTAATCATAATAACCAAACCATGATCATTGTCCAGGAATATGTTAATGCGAGATATTTTCTACTTCTTCATAGTCCAAGTGCTACTCCCTTCGTGGATTCAATCTTTTCCTTTTTGACAGAGGGAGTTATATACCTGAGGGAAGTAACTAATGAAAGTTCTAGCAAATGAAATATGTGCTATTATCAGGCAGAAAATTCAGTTTTATTGCCATCTGCTGTACCAAAATGTGCATTGCATCTGAGAGGTCCTGTACTGAGAATTTAACAGAGTTCTTTTATCAGTAAGCTCACGATAAAACTCGGATAAGTCAAACAAAAAATGCAATACATTAGAAGTTTCTATATAGAATGGTCCAAACACCAAAAGCTGTCTTTGTTCTGATAACATCATGTTCTCCACCCTAGTACTATCGAATCCTTCTACTTCTTCCTTTTTTTTATCAACCCCTCTTCTATCATTAAAAGACAGGGAACACACACACCACTTGCACACAGATAAAGTAATACAAGTTACAAGAGTTATTAGTTTAAACATTTTATCACAACAATATCTATTCAACAATAAACTCTAATGTGACAGAATTTTAAGTATCCCCTCAGTTATCTACATATGTATAAAAGGGCATTTCATGATCAACAAGATTGTTGGTGTAGAAAAAAGTCATAATCAAACTTCAAACAAGTGTACCTGAACAATGATACGTTATACCCTTTCAACTGGATAATTTGCTCGCTTTCCACAAAATTGCAACAAATCCATCAGAATCAGCCCCTCTTCTCCCATTCGAGTGGCTACATTAACGAGCCAATTGCTATAACCAAGAGAATATGTTAAGACTAACTATATAAAATAAACTGAAGACCTGAATAACATGTAGCAACTTGGAACATTGATTCTAATTATTTTTCATTAAGTTCAATTATAAGTTAATGAGAATTGATGACCATACGTAAAACACATAACAATATTCTGACCTAGTTCATCACTTGCATTTACCATGCTTGGCCAAATTGCAAAGTTAAAAGAAAAAACAAGAAGTTATACAAGGTCTCCTGTTGCACCTCCTTGCAATCAGCGTAACATCAATAATGTCTTTCCCAGTTGCAAATTGGAAATTGAGAAAATCTTATGATAAGTAAAGGCATACGTCAAAATGGAACAATAATAACTCTCATTATGCAGTAGTCGAAGTGGCTATACTACTTGAAAAAAATCATGTATTTAACTGAATTACAAGGATGCTGCCTTGGACAACTGGAAGCAAGAAGGGGTCAAGCTGTAAATGCAAGGCATAACAAATGAGTCAAAACTCTAATGGCTGAGTTCCAAGAATTCCCTTCGAGATGACCGAGAAAATTTGTTCTCAAATTTTACATGTAACAGTAACATGTAACTTGAGTTCTTTAAGTTTGCAAGAGTCTTAAACAAACATTCTGATATATATATATATATATATGTATATATATATATATATATGTATATATATATAATGTGGCTATTCTTTAAATACAAAAACACTTCAACACACCGATAAGACATAAAAAAATTACTCCAGCGCAAAAATGTTCTCAAAACCCATAGAAAACCAGATACCAACCATGCACGCACACAAGGATACGGAGAGAAAAAGATTGCATACCTTCATGTAATTACGCACGTGACTCAAGCATTCAGTCACACTCCACTTCTTGAAGTGTTCAAGAGCCACCTCGAGATGGTACAATTTTGGAGCCAAGCTCATATCAACTGAATAAACATTCTGTCCATTGACATATGGTCCCTGATGAAATTCACAGCCAATAAAAGCTAAGTTCATCGTAAAAATTAGAGACGCATACATTTAAGTTAAACATATCAGACAGTTCAATGTAAAACTATATACATGAGCCTTGAGATGCTCTTCCAAAGCCTTCAATTCATCAAAAAGTGCCTGCACAGTACAATCACTAGAATCCTTGCTCTTCATAAATGATACGGTGTTAGGAAATATTTTCGAGCCCCTGCAATCCCAAAACAAGTTATAAATGATATTCCACCCGTTAATATCAATGAAATAAAAAATCAAACTCCAACAGATGCTAGCTTATTACCATGATGAATCATACAAACACAATATACAGACAATCATGTAAAAGAAAACACTGGATAGATAAACCAAATAATTACTATGTTCAATATTGAATGTCCAATTTGACTTGGCATATTAAGAGATGAGAATCTAAAGGTGAAGCATATGAAGCACAATGGTAGCCTTTTTGCTTCTCCAAAGAAGTAAGAGAAATGTGGTATTCAGTAAAGTAGCGGATGATTAAAATACAAGAGGTGTTGTTTGGTTTAAAAGTTCAAAACAGAGCTTTCGCAGAACTACCGTTAGATTGTTATAAAAACTGTTTTCAACCAAATGCAAAGAAAGACAGATTTTTTTCGAAATTTAAACCAAATCTCATCTAAGACATTTGAGATAAATGATAAAATAAAAATATGTAAATTCAATTTGAAACATTGGAAGTAAAGTGTTTTTGCTTGATCTAAAGAAAATCAAGCCACAAAAGCAAAGAGAACTATCACAAAACTTCATTTAAATGTAGCTTGCAGAAATCTAAGACGAATTCACTAATCTCTTCCCTCCAAGGAATAAAGAACAAAAGGTTTGTGAAGTATAACAAAGAAACCTTTGCACAGAATTTTAAAGGAAAAACATCATGTTAAAGTAATTAGATATAGCAACTCCATAAAACAATGGAAATATGAAAATAGCAAACTAAATATGGACATAAGAGTAACTAAAGATGGACATAAGAATGAGGATAAGAGGTTTAGAATCTAGAAAATTGTGAGCATCAAACAGTTTCTTTTACAATTTTAATTCTTGGGCGTCGTTGTGGTTTAGCCCCGGGCCCAGCAGGTTGACCTGCTTCTTGGCCATCCATGTTCACAACTTTCTTCTAGCTTAGCTGCCTATGTGCTTTGAAATGAAACAATAAACATTGGTGAGAGGCACTTGGAGCTCTTGAATGTTTTCGATATTTTCACAATGAAAGATTTCTTTAGAGGTATTGAGTTTGTTTAGGTATAAGGAAAACCGATTCGACGCTTGTAATAGCATTTATCATGACGTATCTTTATTTAATTGTTAGGACAAACACAAGGATGAGAAACAGGAGAGAACAACAAGAAGAAGTTTTGTTTTCATGCCGATCGGTAAATAAACCTTATTCTAGTACCTCTTCCAAAGGTTCAGGAAAACATAAGAGTATTACCCCAAATCGCTTTCGAGTGGACGTGGTACCAATTCATGTGAGATGCATTCAACTGATTTGTCTTGTATTAAACATTTTCTCTGTTTCTTACCGCAGTCCTTTTGTAACGCAACTTTTGTGCATCACAAAACGATGGTTCGTCAGTGAATGTAATTGTATTTTTGTGCAGTCCAACAATAATTATAGAAATAATTCAGAGAATCGGGTGCATGATCAAAGATGAAATAGGACAAGTCTATCAGAAGGGCGGTTGTGGAGGCTTCGGTAAGGGAAACTTCTCTGAGCTGTTTAGATCGATCAAGGAATACGAGAAGATGTTTGAAGCCAAACATGTTAATCAAGTAGCTGCTGTTGAATGAATATATACAAGCATTAGCCTACTATCTAATTGAAATAGAAGTTCTCCAATGATTTCATAGTAGAGAGTAAAGATACATAGTGCATAATATGTACCATCTCATTTTAACTTACCAAAAAGCAGATCATATAGTTTAAGAAGAAGCAAAAAAATTTAATTCATATTTCGAGTTTGTTATATTATCAAAGAAATAACTTGCACATATGTAAAATTTGAATACAAAAATTAAGCAATCAGGCTTTGGCCTTCAGTATCAATGCCCCTCTGTATAGTTAAGTCGAATATTGATGATCGAAGGTATGCCTTCTGTAATTGGCTGACCTTCAGAACAATAGACAGACCTACTGAAATTCAACAAAATATGCAAATTATGTAGACAATAACAAATTAGATGAAAAATTCATGGTACATTAGATAATGATTCAAGAATTAAAGTTTATAAGTTCGTATGCTGAGATTTTTCAGAAGCTCCTACATATAAATCTATCAGTGCATAAATTAGCTTAATTGTACCACGACTACAACAAAATTCAATTGATTCGTATTCAAACTTCTTAGCCGAGTCAAGTTATGAACCTTTGTTAATGGAACATATACAGAGCATAATCTTCTAATATTAGGCATATTTTCTCTGCACATGCCAAATAACCATAAAAAACAAACAAAAAAAAAAGAAACAAGGAACACGCACCAACGAAAGGGGAAATCATTTTAAAGCTGGAAGTACGTGGCAAACATTTAATAACATACGCCTCTCTATCTATCAAAAGTAAAACATTTGAGAGAGATCAAAATAGTCGGGAAGAGTAAGACTTATCTCAAATCTCTTCTACAGATTTTCTTAATGGTCACAGAGAAACTTTTGCGTCAAGTTCTTCATCAAATAGGTTCAGTGATTCACCTTTTATATCTGAATTCAGCAGCTCCCGATCACACTCTTGGTCCTCTTCTTGGTCTCAGAAGGTAATAATAGCCACAACAACATTGTTATACAACCAAAAATATGAGGAATAGTAATTTTGAAAACAAGTTTGGTTGGTGAAATAAGAATTTATCAAAATTTTGGGTTATCCCCAAAAGCTGGCTATCCAACACAAATCTCTTTAGAGACCTACCTAAATTGTTTTTAGGAATGAAACTGATAATATTATGTTCTTCGGTTTCATGATAAATAATCAATATTGAATAACAAGCCAAACCCTTTTCATAAACTATGAAAGGATAAACAAATTCTTTTCCCTTTTAAAACACGAAGCACAAAGACATCAGATAAGATCATCACCAAAATGGCCCCTAAAGATACCATTTCACAGATATATTCTTTTCCAGAATAGCCACTTTAATGTCCACTATAACAACTCAAGATTTGTAGTTTCCAGGAAAGTGCAAATTTTTTTGATAACAAGGGAAATTGTAGTCGTTGTCCTTTGGAGGTTGTGCACAAGGTAAACCCCAGTCCTATACAATAGCTCTTGTCATTCCAAATATAAAAACAAATTCTACATTGTACCGAAACAACACTAGTAACAACTACTATACTATGATTTTTCACATAGTAAATCAAACTATGGTGACAACACACCGAGACACACAAATGGGAATAACCAAATTCAATCAAGTTAACATCAATGATATTAAGGGAACTCAAATAAGAGCATTAATTGAGGACAACAAGAATGGTTTCTTTGATCAATGAAACAGAGGCTTAGTAGTTAGTAAACACTTTTATCAAACACTTCATATGCAAATCTGAAACCATCATAATTTAACCCGACTTGTAACCCCCGATAGAACAAAAAAGAGAACAAATAAAATTAGACGAACACATAACGGCAAGGAAACTAAGCACAGTGGAGTAAAATCCATGAAAAATATGAAAAATCAGAGCATCGCTTGAACCAAATGAAAGCAAGAAATGAACAAATTGCATACGAAACCATGAGTGTAGAGGCTTCTTTATTTAGTATATCTCAAAAAACTAAAAAAATCCAAAATTGAATTAAAACACACCAACATATCATGCATGAAATCGAAGATGAAAAACAAGAAGAAAGATTCAAAGAAACCTCCAGATTTAGGTATCAGTCAAAAGCAGAGGAACACCGAGAAGAGGATTGAAAGTAGAAAAAATTACCAGTTCCTATGCTAAGTAGTGCCACGTGTAACTACACTTGAATGACGAAAAAATCCCTAGCTGAAGCAGGCATGTTGAAATAGCCTTCTTCTAATATAGTAGTAAAAAATTGTATA